GCAGGTTCTTGGCCTTCCGCCCTCTCCTGGTCCTACTCCTCCCCTACTGAGTCCACCGCCTGTCCAGTCGCAGTCACAGTTACAGCCAGTCTCTCCACTTCCTGGTCCTTCTCCCTACACTGCGCCGACGGGAGGTCTTACGGAGCGTCGTGAGCCTGAGTCTCGTCCTCCGTCGCCTGAGAATCGTCTAGAGTCGTCTGAGTCGCGTCCAGAGTCACCTGTCCGCGCTGTCCGCGCTGGTCGTCGTGCTCCGCGTCAGCGTCCTCCTCCTGTCCTTGGCACTCACTATATGACCCTACGTCCCTCTACTGCTCCACAGCGTGTCCCACTGCCGTCTCCACCAGCGTCCTCTCTTCCTGCTCTCGCTGACCTGGAGTCTGTCGCTCTCCGTGCTGCCAGTCCTACTGTCACGCGTCTCCTTGCCACTGTTGTCACTGACCCTTCCTTTGAGTCCTCAGCTGCGTCTGCTCTAGTCGCTGAGCTTGTTGACTTTGCTGCTGCCTGTCGTCTAGACTACGCCGCTAGCCTTGTTGCTGAGTCTGAGTCTGTCTGTCCTCCGTCTGTCGGGGGTGAGTGTGCTCTTGGCACGGACGTCCTTGAGGACAGACAGGAGGAGTTTGAGTGTTTTGCCGCTGCTTTGCCTCATCTCGTGTCCATGCTAGTTGCCCCTGAGGGAGACCCGGATGCACCACACATCCCGACCCCACGCTCTTACGCAGAGGCGATGGAGGGTCCCTACTCCTCTCAGTGGCAGACAGCCATGGACGCAGAGATGGCTTCCTGGAAGTCCACAGGCACCTACGTCGACGAGGTTCCCCCACCTGGGGCGAACATCGTCAGTGGCATGTGGATTTTCAGGGTGAAGCGGCCGCCGGGTTCTCCGCCTGTCTTCAAGGCGCGTTACGTTGCACGAGGCTTCAGTCAGCGAGAGGGAGTTGACTTCTTCCAGACCTTCTCCCCGACCCCGAAGATGACCACTCTTCGGGTTCTGCTGCACGTCGCCGCTCAGCGTGACTACGAGCTCCACTCTCTTGACTTCAGCACTGCGTTCTTACAGGGCAGCCTGCACGAGGAGATCTGGCTGCGCCGCCCACCAGGCTTCACTGGGTCGTTCCCTCCTGGTACCCAGTGGAGCCTCCGGCGGCCAGTCTACGGTCTCCGCCAGGCACCCCGTGAGTGGCACGACACACTGAGGACTACTCTTGCTGCTCTTGGGTTTGCTCCTTCTACTGCTGACCCGTCGCTGTTTCTACGCACCGACACCACTCTGCCGCCGTTCTACGTTCTTGTTTACGTAGACGACTTGGTCTTTGCTACTGCTGACACTGAGGCACTCGCTCACGTGAAGTCGGAGCTGCAGAAGAGACACACGTGCACAGACCTGGGTGAGCTGACAAGCTATCTTGGCTTGCGGATCACCCGGGACAGAGCACAGCGCACCATCACCTTGACTCAGTCACACATGGTGCAGCAGGTCCTTCAGCGCTTCCGCTTCACGTACTCCTCGCCTCAGCCCACTCCTCTGCCTACCGGTCACTCGCTCTCAGCTCTGCCTTCGGATGAGTCCGTAGAGCCGAGTGGCCCGTATCCAGAGCTTGTGGGCTGCCTCATGTACCTGATGACCTGCACTCGACCTGACCTGGCATACCCTCTTAGCATCCTAGCACGCTATGTCGCTCCCGGCCGTCACCGAAAAGAGCACATGGATGCCGCTAAGAGGGTGTTGCGCTACTTGTGCAGTACGTCGGGCATGGGGCTCGTGCTTGGAGGACGGCGCGACGTTGTCCTCACTGGACACTCAGACGCTTCTTGGGCTGACGACCAGGCTACGCAGCGGTCGTCTCAGGGTTACACTTTCAGCCTTGGCTCTGGTTCAGTTTCTTGGCGTTCTACTCGCTCTTCTTCTGTTCTCAGCTCCAGTTGTGAGGCTGAGATCTACGCCACAGCCATGGCTGCACAGGAGTTACGCTGGCTCACCTACCTGCTGACCGACCTGGGAGAGCGGCCTCGTTCTCCTCCAGTGCTGTACGTTGACAACAAGGCCGCCATTGCCTTGTGTGAGGAGCACAGACTGGAGCACAGAACGAAGCACATCGCTCTGCGCTACTTCCTTGCTCGAGAGCTACAGCAGCGTGGTCAGCTTCTTCTGCGTTACGTGGCCACTCAGGCCAACACTGCTGATGTGTTCACCAAGGCGCTTCAGTCTTGTGATCATCAGCGTTTCTGTACTGTTCTAGGCCTTGTGCCTACTGTCCCTCATTTGCTCACTTCTTGACTCTGCTTGTACTGTGATCTCTATATATACCTGCATGCTTACACTTGCTAGGTTGTGATCACTGTACCTCTTGTTATATTATCAACTTGCATGTGAACTGGTCTTGTGACCACTTGCTTGTGCTCGGAATTTGTGTGGTATCCTTTGAGATCCACCCTGAGCTTGTTTTGCTTTGCCTTGCTCTGACTGGTCTTGTGACCCCTTGTTCTCCCCCACTTCGCCTATGGGGGTGTGTCAAACATTATATATGTTGTAGTTGTTTAGGCTACAGTGGGTTAGCCTTTAGGGGGTACACAATTCTAGGGTTAGGTACTTGTACTCACTTCTCTTCCTAGTTCAACCATCTTCATTCTCTCACACTGACAATGCGGACGGGTTCACGCTTTTTCCCCGACCCGTGCCCCTTCCTGGTGGGGAACGCATCTATACCATGCCCGAGACAGCCACGTTTTGGGAGGATGCGCATGTAAGTACTGTCATTTCATGCACATGCGGGTACCCCGAGGGGTTCATGTCAGGCTCATGGGAGGGGCGGTACGCGGTGGGGAGTGGTATTGTAGTGTACCTACTCTTCGTTACTCTGCTCTTTCCGTGCGATGCTCAGTCTGGGGGTCCCTCCCCTCCACTGCTCCCTCTACATCATCCTCTCGTGCTACATATGCCACACCTGCCCTTCCTCTCCCAACACCCCACAGCACCTTGACTGAACCACTTGGCTTGAAAATCCTATTGCAAACCTGTTGGTGTTGCAGGATGCATTGACACGCCTTTTCGGGGAAGGCCAGGTGGTGGCACCCGTCATATTATCATTGGATTCCACCTTGCTGTCCGGGAATGAGCGAGTGAAGGCGTGGGCAGTTTACCTCAGCCTTGGCAACATCCAACTGAGCAAGAGGTGGCTGGACACAGGACGGGTGTTGCTGGCGCTGTTGCCTATACCATGTGCTGACATGACATCCGAACAGAAGGTGAAGTTGTTTCAGGAGGCCATGAAGATAGTCCTCGCTGACCTCATCCTGGCCTCCCACACGTGAGTCTCCAACCCTGGGCGACCCGTACCATTTGCACTTTATACCACGGCTCAGCAATGTTTCTTTGTCGCCTAAAAAAACACAGACGCTGACATGTCTAACCTTGGGAGGGCGTATGTATTCCCAACTCATACTTTGGTACCTGTGTAGGGGGCTCGCGGCAAAGGACCCGTGGGGGATGGATCGTGTCATCTGGCCACTACTGTTCTCGTACGTGGTAGACTACCCGGAGACGTGCAAAGTGACGTGCACCATGGAACAGAGGAGCCAGCGACCATGCTCGACGTGTCCTCAGGGACATGTCCGCCGCCATGTCAGCGCCACGGACCGTGAGCCAGCAGCGCGATCTGCTATCTGATCCACAGCAGGCTCATCGATATTCGACGTTGCAAGTGGTGGTACGTGTAATGTACCGTAATCCCCCACCATCCCCCATTTCTACACTGGAGGTGATTGATTTGTTGACGCTGCTGCGGTTGGGTGTTGATTCAGGCCCCTCTACATGCCCCTTAGCAAGTACCCCTTCCAGGTTGGGTTGTTGGTCCTGTGGTGCGGCCCTAATGGGCCCTTGTTATTGCGTGTGCTTTAGCTGCTGCTTCTAATGATCATCGTGTTACCTGGCGCAGCTCCTGCCACGGCTGCTCCTACTGTTCATGCTTATGGTTCTTTCGCAGTCTGTCTCTGCGCATGGGCTGCTGCTTTTGATGACGCCGTCATCTCCTCTTGCTGCAGCGGCAGATCATCACCATGCTTATGCACGTGCTGCAGATACCCCCCCCTGGGCCCTCCCCCCAACAATACCTCTCCTCCCACTCAACACCCCCAACCCGCCACCCCCCACCCCACCTTTTTTCTCCCCAGTCCCTGCTTTGGGACTGGAATTTTGCGCTGTCCCCCTGGGGCAACACCTACCTCTCCAGCATGCCTGATATCCTGCATGCCGTGTACCTCGGTTTATGGATCTACCCTCGGATGGCGCTGCGAGGCTTGGATGAACGTGCAGCTCTGCAAGATGGGTGAGATGGTTTTGCTGGCTTCATATCTATGGGCTGGACATCCCAGTTGTCACATTTGGCCACCTGCAGTGTATGGGCACGTCATGTGGGAACATAACGAGTATTGTGTTTGGGCTCCTTGGTTCGGGTGGACCATGGTTAACCACAACGCTATTCTGCCATAATCTGTGTTTGTTGTTATACGCGCATCCCATACCCTAAACCAAACGGATGGTGGCGTTATACCCTGGAGCGCTACTGGCAGGGCTCAACCCGCCCTCATCAAACACTTATTGGCGCGCAGGCGCTAACTTCACAGCCACTGAGCACGCCGGCGTCTTGATGTATGGTTAAACGCATATGCCCAGCATATGCTGCTCAGCCCGCTATTCCACCGTGCATCCTGTTTACTGTTTTTTCCGTCTGTGGGTTCTAAGGGCTGGAACTGTGTATGGACAGATTGCCCCGTTTGTGGTGGAGGGGCAGGGGACCATCATCAGCCGCCACACATTTGTGCAAGTTCTGGAGTGGCACGAGGACCACCTGCAAGCTCCATACCACACTAACACTTCCCTGAGGGCGTTTGACGAAGCGACGCGGAGGTAAGGATGACCTTGCCAGTAGCATTTTCACCCATTCACTAACAACTGACCGTTTTATCATGCCTTTTGCTACTCCCTTACCCTATTCCCGCACGGTATGGTGCAGCGAATTGAGAGCACCTTTCCGCGGCTGGGCGATGGGTGTAACTTGATCAAGGTGCACCAACTGCTGCACCTTCCCGAGGCCATCAAGAGAGCGGGCCTGCCCCGGCAGTACTCTGCTGCTGCGTACGAAAATGCGCATATCCGCGCCTGCAAGATCCCTTTTCGGGCATCTAACCGGCGGCAGCATGAGCAGGTGATCGCGGTTCACAACGGGATCCAGGCGCAGCTGTCGCGTCTCCCAACCGCGCTCCCTCCGAGCAGGTGGTACAACACGGCTCTGCAGAGGGTAAGATTCTTTTGGCTCATCTGCAGGGGCGAGGGTGTTGATTCATTGATGTGCCTTAAATCCCTCTCTCACAGTTGCATGGGAGATGTAGCATGCAGCAGCACCCCACCACCATGCACAACACCACGCCACCATGCAGCAGCACCCCACCACCATGCACAACACCACGCCACCATGCAGCAGCACCCCACCACCATGCACAACACCACGCCACCATGCAGCAGCACCCCACCACCATGCACAACACCACGCCACCATGCAGCAGCACCCCACCACCATGCACAACACCACGCCACCATGCAGCAGCACCCCACCACCATGCACAACACCACGCCACCATGCAGCAGCACCCCACCACCATGCACAACACCACGCCACCATGCAGCAGCACCCCACCACCATGCACAACACCACGCCACCATGCAGCAGCACCCCACCACCATGCACAACACCACGCCACCATGCAGCAGCACCCCACCACCATGCACAACACCACGCCACCATGCAGCAGCACCCCACCACCATGCACAACACCACGCCACCATGCAGCAGCACCCCACCACCATGCACAACACCACGCCACCATGCAGCAGCACCCCACCACCATGCACAACACCACGCCACCATGCAGCAGCACCCCACCACCATGCACAACACCACGCCACCATGCAGCAGCACCCCACCACCATGCACAACACCACGCCACCATGCAGCAGCACCCCACCACCATGCACAACACCACGCCACCATGCAGCAGCACCCCACCACCATGCACAACACCACGCCACCATGCAGCAGCACCCCACCACCATGCACAACACCACGCCACCATGCAGCAGCACCCCACCACCATGCACAACACCACGCCACCATGCAGCAGCACCCCACCACCATGCACAACACCACGCCACCATGCAGCAGCACCCCACCACCATGCACAACACCACGCCACCATGCAGCAGCACCCCACCACCATGCACAACACCACGCCACCATGCAGCAGCACCCCACCACCATGCACAACACCACGCCACCATGCAGCAGCACCCCACCACCATGCACAACACCACGCCACCATGCAGCAGCACCCCACCACCATGCACAACACCACGCCACCATGCAGCAGCACCCCACCACCATGCACAACACCACGCCACCATGCAGCAGCACCCCACCACCATGCACAACACCACGCCACCATGCAGCAGCACCCCACCACCATGCACAACACCACGCCACCATGCAGCAGCACCCCACCACCATGCACAACACCACGCCACCATGCAGCAGCACCCCACCACCATGCACAACACCACGCCACCATGCAGCAGCACCCCACCACCATGCACAACACCACGCCACCATGCAGCAGCACCCCACCACCATGCACAACACCACGCCACCATGCAGCAGCACCCCACCACCATGCACAACACCACGCCACCATGCAGCAGCACCCCACCACCATGCACAACACCACGCCACCATGCAGCAGCACCCCACCACCATGCACAACACCACGCCACCATGCAGCAGCACCCCACCACCATGCACAACACCACGCCACCATGCAGCAGCACCCCACCACCATGCACAACACCACGCCACCATGCAGCAGCACCCCACCACCATGCACAACACCACGCCACCATGCAGCAGCACCCCACCACCATGCACAACACCACGCCACCATGCAGCAGCACCCCACCACCATGCACAACACCACGCCACCATGCAGCAGCACCCCACCACCATGCACAACACCACGCCACCATGCAGCAGCACCCCACCACCATGCACAACACCACGCCACCATGCAGCAGCACCCCACCACCATGCACAACACCACGCCACCATGCAGCAGCACCCCACCACCATGCACAACACCACGCCACCATGCAGCAGCACCCCACCACCATGCACAACACCACGCCACCATGCAGCAGCACCCCACCACCATGCACAACACCACGCCACCATGCAGCAGCACCCCACCACCATGCACAACACCACGCCACCATGCAGCAGCACCCCACCACCATGCACAACACCACGCCACCATGCAGCAGCACCCCACCACCATGCACAACACCACGCCACCATGCAGCAGCACCCCACCACCATGCACAACACCACGCCACCATGCAGCAGCACCCCACCACCATGCACAACACCACGCCACCATGCAGCAGCACCCCACCACCATGCACAACACCACGCCACCATGCAGCAGCACCCCACCACCATGCACAACACCACGCCACCATGCAGCAGCACCCCACCACCATGCACAACACCACGCCACCATGCAGCAGCACCCCACCACCATGCACAACACCACGCCACCATGCAGCAGCACCCCACCACCATGCACAACACCACGCCACCATGCAGCAGCACCCCACCACCATGCACAACACCACGCCACCATGCAGCAGCACCCCACCACCATGCACAACACCACGCCACCATGCAGCAGCACCCCACCACCATGCACAACACCACGCCACCATGCAGCAGCACCCCACCACCATGCACAACACCACGCCACCATGCAGCAGCACCCCACCACCATGCACAACACCACGCCACCATGCAGCAGCACCCCACCACCATGCACAACACCACGCCACCATGCAGCAGCACCCCACCACCATGCACAACACCACGCCACCATGCAGCAGCACCCCACCACCATGCACAACACCACGCCACCATGCAGCAGCACCCCACCACCATGCACAACACCACGCCACCATGCAGCAGCACCCCACCACCATGCACAACACCACGCCACCATGCAGCAGCACCCCACCACCATGCACAACACCACGCCACCATGCAGCAGCACCCCACCACCATGCACAACACCACGCCACCATGCAGCAGCACCCCACCACCATGCACAACACCACGCCACCATGCAGCAGCACCCCACCACCATGCACAACACCACGCCACCATGCAGCAGCACCCCACCACCATGCACAACACCACGCCACCATGCAGCAGCACCCCACCACCATGCACAACACCACGCCACCATGCAGCAGCACCCCACCACCATGCACAACACCACGCCACCATGCAGCAGCACCCCACCACCATGCACAACACCACGCCACCATGCAGCAGCACCCCACCACCATGCACAACACCACGCCACCATGCAGCAGCACCCCACCACCATGCACAACACCACGCCACCATGCAGCAGCACCCCACCACCATGCACAACACCACGCCACCATGCAGCAGCACCCCACCACCATGCACAACACCACGCCACCATGCAGCAGCACCCCACCACCATGCACAACACCACGCCACCATGCAGCAGCACCCCACCACCATGCACAACACCACGCCACCATGCAGCAGCACCCCACCACCATGCACAACACCACGCCACCATGCAGCAGCACCCCACCACCATGCACAACACCACGCCACCATGCAGCAGCACCCCACCACCATGCACAACACCACGCCACCATGCAGCAGCACCCCACCACCATGCACAACACCACGCCACCATGCAGCAGCACCCCACCACCATGCACAACACCACGCCACCATGCAGCAGCACCCCACCACCATGCACAACACCACGCCACCATGCAGCAGCACCCCACCACCATGCACAACACCACGCCACCATGCAGCAGCACCCCACCACCATGCACAACACCACGCCACCATGCAGCAGCACCCCACCACCATGCACAACACCACGCCACCATGCAGCAGCACCCCACCACCATGCACAACACCACGCCACCATGCAGCAGCACCCCACCACCATGCACAACACCACGCCACCATGCAGCAGCACCCCACCACCATGCACAACACCACGCCACCATGCAGCAGCACCCCACCACCATGCACAACACCACGCCACCATGCAGCAGCACCCCACCACCATGCACAACACCACGCCACCATGCAGCAGCACCCCACCACCATGCACAACACCACGCCACCATGCAGCAGCACCCCACCACCATGCACAACACCACGCCACCATGCAGCAGCACCCCACCACCATGCACAACACCACGCCACCATGCAGCAGCACCCCACCACCATGCACAACACCACGCCACCATGCAGCAGCACCCCACCACCATGCACAACACCACGCCACCATGCAGCAGCACCCCACCACCATGCACAACACCACGCCACCATGCAGCAGCACCCCACCACCATGCACAACACCACGCCACCATGCAGCAGCACCCCACCACCATGCACAACACCACGCCACCATGCAGCAGCACCCCACCACCATGCACAACACCACGCCACCATGCAGCAGCACCCCACCACCATGCACAACACCACGCCACCATGCAGCAGCACCCCACCACCATGCACAACACCACGCCACCATGCAGCAGCACCCCACCACCATGCACAACACCACGCCACCATGCAGCAGCACCCCACCACCATGCACAACACCACGCCACCATGCAGCAGCACCCCACCACCATGCACAACACCACGCCACCATGCAGCAGCACCCCACCACCATGCACAACACCACGCCACCATGCAGCAGCACCCCACCACCATGCACAACACCACGCCACCATGCAGCAGCACCCCACCACCATGCACAACACCACGCCACCATGCAGCAGCACCCCACCACCATGCACAACACCACGCCACCATGCAGCAGCACCCCACCACCATGCACAACACCACGCCACCATGCAGCAGCACCCCACCACCATGCACAACACCACGCCACCATGCAGCAGCACCCCACCACCATGCACAACACCACGCCACCATGCAGCAGCACCCCACCACCATGCACAACACCACGCCACCATGCAGCAGCACCCCACCACCATGCACAACACCACGCCACCATGCAGCAGCACCCCACCACCATGCACAACACCACGCCACCATGCAGCAGCACCCCACCACCATGCACAACACCACGCCACCATGCAGCAGCACCCCACCACCATGCACAACACCACGCCACCATGCAGCAGCACCCCACCACCATGCACAACACCACGCCACCATGCAGCAGCACCCCACCACCATGCACAACACCACGCCACCATGCAGCAGCACCCCACCACCATGCACAACACCACGCCACCATGCAGCAGCACCCCACCACCATGCACAACACCACGCCACCATGCAGCAGCACCCCACCACCATGCACAACACCACGCCACCATGCAGCAGCACCCCACCACCATGCACAACACCACGCCACCATGCAGCAGCACCCCACCACCATGCACAACACCACGCCACCATGCAGCAGCACCCCACCACCATGCACAACACCACGCCACCATGCAGCAGCACCCCACCACCATGCACAACACCACGCCACCATGCAGCAGCACCCCACCACCATGCACAACACCACGCCACCATGCAGCAGCACCCCACCACCATGCACAACACCACGCCACCATGCAGCAGCACCCCACCACCATGCACAACACCACGCCACCATGCAGCAGCACCCCACCACCATGCACAACACCACGCCACCATGCAGCAGCACCCCACCACCATGCACAACACCACGCCACCATGCAGCAGCACCCCACCACCATGCACAACACCACGCCACCATGCAGCAGCACCCCACCACCATGCACAACACCACGCCACCATGCAGCAGCACCCCACCACCATGCACAACACCACGCCACCATGCAGCAGCACCCCACCACCATGCACAACACCACGCCACCATGCAGCAGCACCCCACCACCATGCACAACACCACGCCACCATGCAGCAGCACCCCACCACCATGCACAACACCACGCCACCATGCAGCAGCACCCCACCACCATGCACAACACCACGCCACCATGCAGCAGCACCCCACCACCATGCACAACACCACGCCACCATGCAGCAGCACCCCACCACCATGCACAACACCACGCCACCATGCAGCAGCACCCCACCACCATGCACAACACCACGCCACCATGCAGCAGCACCCCACCACCATGCACAACACCACGCCACCATGCAGCAGCACCCCACCACCATGCACAACACCACGCCACCATGCAGCAGCACCCCACCACCATGCACAACACCACGCCACCATGCAGCAGCACCCCACCACCATGCACAACACCACGCCACCATGCAGCAGCACCCCACCACCATGCACAACACCACGCCACCATGCAGCAGCACCCCACCACCATGCACAACACCACGCCACCATGCAGCAGCACCCCACCACCATGCACAACACCACGCCACCATGCAGCAGCACCCCACCACCATGCACAACACCACGCCACCATGCAGCAGCACCCCACCACCATGCACAACACCACGCCACCATGCAGCAGCACCCCACCACCATGCACAACACCACGCCACCATGCAGCAGCACCCCACCACCATGCACAACACCACGCCACCATGCAGCAGCACCCCACCACCATGCACAACACCACGCCACCATGCAGCAGCACCCCACCACCATGCACAACACCACGCCACCATGCAGCAGCACCCCACCACCATGCACAACACCACGCCACCATGCAGCAGCACCCCACCACCATGCACAACACCACGCCACCATGCAGCAGCACCCCACCACCATGCACAACACCACGCCACCATGCAGCAGCACCCCACCACCATGCACAACACCACGCCACCATGCAGCAGCACCCCACCACCATGCACAACACCACGCCACCATGCAGCAGCACCCCACCACCATGCACAACACCACGCCACCATGCAGCAGCACCCCACCACCATGCACAACACCACGCCACCATGCAGCAGCACCCCACCACCATGCACAACACCACGCCACCATGCAGCAGCACCCCACCACCATGCACAACACCACGCCACCATGCAGCAGCACCCCACCACCATGCACAACACCACGCCACCATGCAGCAGCACCCCACCACCATGCACAGCACCACACCACCATGCACAGCACCACACCACCACGCACAGCACCACACCACCATACAGTAGAACCACACCACCATGCACCGCAGCCTCCGCTTCATGCCACTATCGACTGGCTAAGATGCATACACGCTCTGATCTGCATTCTCTATTCTTAATGGTCCGGGATGTGTATCTTTTATAGTTATTTTGTTGCTTAACCGTGTAGTACTTTCCTCTCTTGCCCCTACCCTGCACCCCTGGCGGAATGGCCGACTTGTGTGGTTGGCAGGCCATCGCCACGGGTTCCCCATCGCTCAACGGACAGAGGACGCGGATGCTGGGAGCGAGCACCAGCCCCACCGGCCCATGTGGCATATATGGGGCTTTTGACACCGCGCTCGAGGACGGCGTTGGGCCGTACGCATATGTGATGCGTGAGAGCGGCTTCGTGCCGTTTCCAGCTTGGGTATGTGCCCCGCGTTTGGTGTGGTAGTGCTGTATGCGTGTTTCTCTCATCCAGATATCATGGCAGATTCGGAACATGGCACAGTGTGCTTTGACATGAGCGGGTACATCACAGCAGCGTGTACCATGCTTGTACGCATCCAGCACCCTTGTAGGTGGATCCTTGAGATGACTACACACCCTGTGGCTGCCCCCTCTTATCGCAGGTGCATTCGGCGGTGGCACTGCCCCCCCGACAGCTCGACCACAGCACCCTCCGGGCCCATTACGCACACGCATACGGGGAGCCTGCTTTCTCGTTCATTGAGTACGAGGACTCAGCAGGGGAGATGCAGCATGGGCGCATTCATCTGCTCCTCACACTCGAGGAGGCGCATGGCGAAACCAATGTGGGAACTGCTGTGGCCTTCGTGCGCAGGTGGCTGCCGGAGCACGTGGATCCTTGCACCGGATGCAGAGTGATGACGCCTGCGAGCACCAATGAGGAGTATTATGTGGTGCCCATCGAAGACCTGCAACACACCGTGCACATGGTCCAGTCCTTTGAGGACCCTGGCGTGTGGTTCTTGAACAAGTGGGCACGGAGGTGCCACGAGACGCTTACCTAAGCTCTGAGAAGTTGTTGATTCGCAGCTTTTGTCCTGCGTCAACATTGTTGTCCGTTCGTTGTTCTTGTTTTGGGGGGGGGGGGGGGGGGATGGGGGAGAGGGGAGTGGGGGGGATTGGGGAGAGAGGGGATGTACCAGAACTGAAGTGGAGGCGAGGGTGCGCGAGTATCTGGAGCGTGGGTTAGTCAAGTGACTCCTGCGTGTAGCTGTTACGTTTTGCTGCTGCTGTTATATCATGTGCTTGAATAAATGAAAGTAACTTTTTGGTTTTTATTTTATACAATCTTTTCTTATACTGCACAAGCTGACTGTATCGGAGCCTCCCCATTGGTCCACCAAACTTATCACTGAGGCTGGGTGCTCGGTTTGCGCTGTGTGGGGATACAATGTGGAAGGGGTAACAATGCCACTCTGTGCACATCGTTTTCTAGCATTCTGCCCCTTTCCCTAAGCAGGCCACAAGGAGTCCTTGAACATAGCAACAACATTGGCGAGCGTGGATGCCTTGTGTATAGGCGGTTTCGTGCATGGATCCTGTCGTGAAAATTTTTGTAGAGGCCGTGTGAGCGCCGGCGGAAGCGCCTGTGCACAGAAGGGAGTGCCTGTGCGCGGAGGGTTGAATGCGGGGTGTAAAGAACTCCCGCGCGCGGAGGGGAGAGGCGCACGGAGCTCAATTTTCCCCGCGCTGACCTTCCGCGCCCCCGCTAAAGCCCAATCCCGTTCCTCCCCGTGCAAATACAGGGCGACCGCGTCGCGGTGACTCCGCGTCTCCTACCAGAACTCATCCTTTCCCGTTCCACCCATCCGCACTATGGGGGGTCCTAGTATCCTCCCCGCGCTGACCGTCCGCAGCTCCCCGGGGCTCATCCTCACGGGCTGAGACCATTCATTCCCCGTTGCACCCATCCGCACCGACCCACATTCCCAGAGCGACCGCGTGGCGTACGGTTGGCTCCGCGACTCGTGCCGCTGCTGTCTCTCCTGTGTGCGCGGCGAGGAGAACCTGTGCACGGAGGGAAAGGAATACACCGTGTACCCAGTGATGGGGCTCATCCACCCATCCTTCTCTGCCCCATCCCATCCACCCCACTGTAACAGGGCGACTGCGTAGGCTATGGCTGGCTGCGCAACTCGTGCCGCTGCTGCCTGTCGTGTGTGCGCGGAGGGCTACACGGGGCTCATTGTCCTCGCGCTCCCTGAAACACACTTTCGAATCTGGCACGGTGATCGCGTCGCATACGGATGGCTTCGCAACTCGTGCCGCTGCTGTCTCTCCTGCGTGCGTGGGGAGGAGAACCTGTGCGTGGAGGGCTACACGGGGCTCATCCTGAACGGCAACAAGGGCGGCTTCCAACCTCGACTTCGTGCCCCCGCCGACTTCGCCATTAAACTGCCTGATGGGCTGGACTCGTTGATGCCGCCCTTCTTATGTGCGCCGGTGAGTATTCGTATGCACGGCTCATGGGGGACGGGTGCTGGGGGCCGGGGGCTGGGGGCTCATCCTGAATGGCAACAAAGGCGGCTTCCAACCTCGAATGCGCGCCCCCGCTGACTTCGCTGTCAAGCTGCCCGAGGGGCTGGACTCGGTTGATGCCGCTCCACTCATGTGCGCCGGTGAGTGCGTGCGTTACTTCTTGCTTGTATTCATTCATTTGCCCCCGCTGACTTGGCCATTAAACTCTTCAAGGGGCTGGACTCGGTTGATGCCGCTCCACTCATGTGTGCCGGTGAGTGTGTAGTAATGCATGTGAGTGTCTAATAATGCTGTGGGTGTCTAGTAATGTCTGTGATGTGTGCCTGAGTGGCTGCTCCCCCCCACTCCCCACCTACTCCCCCCCACTCCCCACCTGCACCCCCCCACTCCCCACCTACTCCCCCCCACTCCCCACCTGCTCCCCCCTACTCCCCAACTGCTCCCCCCCACTCCCCACTTGCTCCCTCCCACTCCCCACCTGCTCCCCCCCACTCCACCAACTCCCCACCTTCTCCCCCCCACTCCCCACCTACTCCCCTCTCCCTGTCTCCCTCCCACCCCTCTCCTTCCAGGCATCACTATGTACAACCCCCTGCGTGCGCACATCACCCGCCCAGGCATGAAAGTCGGCGTGATGGGCATCGGCAATTAGGGCCACCTCACTTTACAAATCGTGCGGGCCATGGGGGCACAGGTGACTGCCTTCTCCACCACTGCCAGCAAGGAGGGGGAGGTGAGGAGCATGGTCAGAAAGCATGGGCACGCCTCCCTTCTCACACCCTTCGCCTGCCCCCCCACCTCTTGTGTGCCTTTCCACAGGCATCACGGTCTACAGCCCCCTGCGCGCCCACATCACTCGTCCAGGAATGAAAGTGGGAGTTATCGTCATCGGCGGCCTGGGCCACCTCGCTTTACAAATCACTAGTGGACTGGGCATCGGCACCATGGGGGCACACGTGACTGCATTCTCCACCACTGCCAGCAAGGAGGGGGAAACGAGGAGCATGGGCGCGCAGCAGTTTGTGGTGTATGATCCGCACGCTGCCCCTGGAAAGGGGCATCCCGAGGTGCCCAAGTCTGCCCACGTGGACGTCTTAGTGAACTGCGCGCCTGTCTTGCCTCCTAATGGGGACTATCGGAACTTCATGAGCCTGCTCAACCCAGACGACACGTGAGTGAGTTCATGAATTGCTGTCCCAGGGAGAGGAAAAACGGGCATCCGAAGGTGTCCAAGAGTGCCCACGTGGACGTCCTGGTGAACTGCGCTCTTGTCTTGCCTCCTCAAGGGGACTACAGGAAATTCATGAGCCTTTTGAACCCTGATGGCACGTGTGTCGCCTTGTCGTGTGCAGCAGCACACACACAGGCTGCTTGGGGGGTGGGGGGAATGTGCGGGGAAGAGGAAGGTGCCTAAGTCAGCCCGCGTGGATGTTTTGGTGAACTGGGCGCCCAGTCGGGTTGTCGTGCTGCCTCCCAACGGAGACTATCGCAAATTCATGAGCCTGCTGAATCCTGATGGCACGTGAGTGCGCCTCTCCCCTTCCATCATTGCCTCTCTGCCCGGTGAACTCGGCGCCTGTGCTACCTCCCAACGAATACTACCGCAACTTCATGAGCCTGCTGCATCCTGATGGCACGTGTGTGAGTTCATGCATTGCTGTCCCAGGGAGTGGGAAAGGGCATCCCGAGGTGCCCAAGTCTCCCCGCGTGGATGTTTTGGTGAACTGGGCGCCTGTGCCGCAACTTCATGAGCTTGATCAACCCGGATGGCACGTGCGTCACCATGTGTGGGGGGAGGGTGAGGGAGATGCCTAGGAGCAAGCACGTGAACGTGCTGGTGAACCGAGAGCAGCTGTGCGTGCCTCTCTTGCCTCCTAACGGGGACTATCCCAGCTTCATGAGCTCATGTGCCATGTTTCTCATGAATCCCAGTCAGCACGAGCCTGGGAACTAACTCAACCTTGACGCCCACATTTCTATTCCCCCTTACATGAGTCCCTTTTTCCCCTCCCCCTGTTAATCAACTAACCCCTGTCCTCTTTCCTCCTGTTCCCATTTCCCCTCCCCCTTGCTCCTTCCCCGTTCCCCTTACTCCTATCCCCTCCCTTCTTCCCAGGCTCGTGCTGGCGGGGATTCCACCTGATGCTGTTGGGCAGGTGGGCCTTCTGGATCTAATTTTCCCTCTCTCCCTGTTTCCCTCTCCCCTGTCCCCCTCTTCCTTGTTCCCCTTTTCCCCTGTCCCTCGTTCCCATGTCCCCTTTTTTCCTGTCCTCCTGTTCCCAATCTCCCCCTTCCCCCTTTCCCCCATCGCCTCCATTCTTCCCAGGCTCGTGCTGGCCGGGATTCCACCTGATGCGGTCTGGCAGGTGAGCCTGCTGGATCTGATTTTCGGGCAGAAAAAACTTGCGGGGTCGATGGTGGGCGGGCGGATGCTGCTGAAAGAAATGTTTGAATTCTGCGCTGCTAACAGCATCAAGCCCGTGACTGTGGTGAGTGTGTGTTAGTGCGACTGGTGAGAGAGTGTGAGAGAGTTTGGGTGTGATCAAGAGACCACCTCGTGAAAGAAATGTTAGTACGCGTTGGTGTGAGTGTGAGTGCGGAGTGTGAGTGCTGGTTTGTGACTGACTATGGTGAGTGAGTGTTTTTGAGTGTGGCGGTGGTGAGTGAGTCTGTGTTAGTGTGACTGAGGCGAGTTTTAGTGTAAGTGTGAAACTAGTGCGTGAGGGTTAGAATGGGTGTGACTGCTACAACCTGATCACTACCCTGTTAATACCTGGTTACCACCTAAGTGTTACATCATGCCCACACTCCCTGGTATACAAGGCTATCGATGGGGCAGGAGCCCAACGTTTAGTAAACTCACCACCGTTTTTTCCCTGTCATCTCCCTCTTACCTATCTCTTACCACCTGGTTACCACCCATGTGTTACAGACGCGGCCGCTGTCGCAGCTCAACGAGGCAATGGATAAAATTTGGCCAACAAGGTTCGCTATCGTGTTGTGCTGCTCACTGATGTTGAGTAGATATACCGTAGATGGGTGGATGGATAGGTCAATGGCTGGGTGGCTGGGTAGTTTTGCTGCTTGCTTGCAATTCTGATGTCTGAGATATTCAAGCGGCATCATGTGTGAATCCAACAAGGTTCGGTACCGTGTTGTGTTGCTCACCGATGTTGAGTAAATACATATGCGTGGATGGGTGGATAGTGCTGCAGCTTTGCTTATCACGGCTGGGGGGGATTGACGAGACATGATGAAGTTTTGGCCAACAAGGTTAGCTACCTGTTGTGTTGCTCGCCGATGCTGAGTAGATGGGTGGATGGTTAAATGGTTGGGTGGGTGGGTGAGTTGGGTTAGGTAGTTAAAGCAAATCTTATGGTAGTTGAAACAATTTTGAAATAACTTCGAATCTAGATGCTAGGTTGCAGGTACTCCTGGATTATGTTTTAGTTGCTGTGTGTTTATGTGTGAATGTAGAACATGTGATCTTTAAAATGTTGTGACAGCATTCTAAAATAATGTAGAGTCATTTGTTACACCAAGTTAACTATCGTAGACCGATGTTGGTTTCAAATCACTCTTATGCGCGAACAATTTGGCAAGCCCGAAGCGCCTGGTTAGCTCGCGCGCCAGGCTCGATCGCGGATGCTCAATTTTTTTCGCGAATCGAGGTCGTTGCGCGAAAACAGCGGAAACATGTGAGTGACACATTTTCGCCAGAGGCTGGGCGAGAAAATATGCAGAGCCCGCGAACCCAACTTCCCTAGCCAACTTCGAACACTTTCCCCTCGCGATTGCAAGCTGGGCCAACTTTGTGATACTTCCAGTGGCATGGTTTTAGGTAGAATGAAGGCCAATGGCCACATATAGTTTCACTGGTAGGGTCCGAGCCCTTATTAGCCTAAAATGGCAGCAATGGGCAGGGTGTACGGACGACAGCAGAACCCTATCTCGCCCTTCCGTTCCAACACCGATGCTTTATCGCTCAGCCCACAACGAGACATCCGATAACCTTCCACGTCAAGCCGCCAATTCCACTCATCCAACCACCATCACTAATTCTTCGCGGCGTCTGCGGGAATCCACACTAAGATCCTTCTTAGGTGGCGTCACAGCTGGTGACGTGACCTCATTCAGAGCCGTAGCTGGCGTATTTGCAGTCGGGCGCGACGACGGACGAGGAGATGTAGTCCTCCACATCGCCGTCCAGAAACCCCTTGCCCTCCGCCTTATCCACGTCCACGGGGTGGTGCAGCAGCGCCGCTAAGTGCGAGTACTTAACCGCGCGCTGCAGCTGCTCCGGCGAGCTCCTGAACGTCTGCCCGAGCACGCCGTGCACGGCTGACGTCATCGCCACGTCGGAAAGTTCCACGTTAAAGTGCGCTTCCGCCTCGGTCGGCGTCTGCAGCAGCGGGTGCGCCACGCGCACGCGCACGTCGAGTTCCCCCAGCCCCGCCACGCGCACCCGGAACTGATCCACGTCGAACGGCCCCTCCTTCGCCTCCGCGATCTTGGTAACCACCAGCCCGCTTTCCGTCGTGATCGACTCGCCGACGGGCGGCGGGACGGCAAGCAGGCCGTCGATCTGAATGAGCGACACGAAGCCGTTCTCGCCGCGCTCCTGCTGCTTGCCCTTGCGCGCAACCATGCGGAGCGTGTGGTTCGCGCCGTCGGGCGTCATCCACACGACGCCGAGCTCCTTAATCCACGAGTGCAGCTCCGTGCTCGACTCGCTCGACCTCGCCGACGCGGGAAGCGCGGGCGGTGCGCCCTGGTATCCGTTCAGGTGCATGTTGACGTGGAATCGACGGTCGGAGAAGAGGCAGAACGACTTATCGAGCCGCCCGGTGAAATCGAAGTGCGTGCCGTGCGCGCCCGTGAGATGCGGGTCGTTTTCGACGAGCGCCGTGCCGTTGCACAGCCCGCCGACGAAGCTCAGCGGGTAAGAAGCGGAGTTCGCAGTTTGCGTGGCCGTGTCGCCCGCGTACGGCGTCTTGAAAGTGCCCGACGTGCCCGAGCCGCCGTTCTTCTCCAGCAGGTAGCATTGCACGCGGTCGATGAACCCCGCCACATTCGCATTTTCTCCGGCAAGACGCGGGCTGGGGAAGGAAGAGACAGAGAGAGAGGATCGAAGGAGGAAAGGAACTCAGTCACTTAGAGCTGCACTCTTCGAGATCAGTGACTCCAGAAGTAAAAGCTACCTTTTGGCGCGAATTCTGGAAAAATAAGTCAACCCACACTTACTTCTTGAACCAATGCCACTCGTAGCAGTAGGTGGAGCGCGCACACGCACGGCAGCACTCCTGCAGCGTATCGCCGTACACGCCCTTCACCACGTCGAAAATGGTCCCCACCTCCGTGTACCGCTCGTAATTCACGGGACCCGAGCCGCGCTGGTGAGGCTCGTACAGCCCGCCCTGGTCGTTGAACTGTCCCTGGAAATCGCCGATGAAGGTGTAGTCGGTGTAAGTGGAGTCGGTGATTGTTGCGGTAGCGAGGTCGTCGATGTAGGGGCAGACGTAGCGAGTGTGGCATCCGCCAGCAGGCATGTTAGTCGCATCTGCGCCATGCAGTACCAGGCTGATGAGGGCGAGGATTAAGAACAGACTGGTAGGGTAAGCCATATTTGCGCTTTAGGTAGTTCTCTAATGGAATGCTCAGTAGGGAAAGAGACTGATTTTTGTTGGTAGGAGCTGAGAATCGAGCATGATAAGTACTAGCGCTTGGGCGTGGCAGATGGGATGTGATGGTGTGCTTGTCAGAGCAGGGGAGAACCACATTTGCTCCTGAAACAACCCCGTTGGCTGAATTGCTGGTTTCCTGGAACAATCAGCCACAGCGAGCCGCCCCCTCATGCTTCTTTGGAATCTGGGGTAACCACCATCATCGCTCGCACCCGCAATGAGGCCACAGCGAGGCGTAACCACCACTACTGTACCACGCTGAATATCGCGAAGTGGCACTCCGCACATTTGAACGAGGTACAACATCGGGTCGCGCAGTGTATGACAGGGGTGAGAGTCTGCCTCACCGTAACGCAATCAACCGATCTGACATATAGCAATGAGGCATGCCACCGTATAGAAACCCCCAGTGGCAAAGCACATGGCAGCGACCAGGGCGATGGGCGGGGCAGGGGTCTTCCCCACTGCCCAGCGCGTCTTGAAGCGAACAGATTCGCTCACGCGCAATAACCCCATCGCTGGCAGGCTTGGTGAGGTTTGTTTTGCCAGCGGTTTGGGGCTATCTGTTTGTGAGTTGTTCGAATTTAGGCAGATGTTAGGGTGTGGTGAGAGGATGACTTCAACCTAATGTAGAGAGAATGACTACGCATGCTTACAGTGATACCCCTTATAAATGACTACGCATGCTCTCCGCCATGGATTTTCTACGCGCTTCGACAGGCGCAATGTACAGAAATTTATTACTTGCTTTTACCTTTTCCTTACTAACAATTTCCTCTCAACAGGACCTATAAATAGATATCAATAATGTGTTCAAAAAGGGAACATCGTTTCTGCTTATATACTTCATGGGATTGCCATTCGTCAGGGAACAATTTGGTCAAGGATGATGTCAGCTGAGCTGTCAACGGCGTGCAATTATATAGGGGCTCGGATTGCACTGTCTACGAAAATGGATTTCACGTTATCTACTGCGAGCAGGGCTAATTCTATCAGTGTAAATCACCCTGATACCCTGATTATCAGGGTGGTTTTTGGTAGTCACACTGATGGCCTAGGGTAATTTTTTTTAGAGCTAGGATTTTCCTGATATGCCAGGGTTTACATTTGAGGCACACTGATGCCTCAGGGTTACCGATCTTTATAACGAAATTTACCCTGAAGCGAGTATCATACCCCCGCCCCCCACTTCCCCCACCCCCTCTTTCCCGTAACCCAGGATTCCCAATTGCCAACTGTCGAAACAGAAATTTCAGCCTCGACAATACATGTGCTGGCACGAAGTGGGCCACCATTGGCCAGAAACACCAGAGTTTAAAAAACTGGTACACTGATCCCACAGGGTTGGATTTTCAAAAACGAGAAAAACACTGATGGATCAGGGTTTGAACAAGGTGTCACACTGATAATCAGGTTTTTGAACAGGTGCAACACTGATCACAAGGGTTGCTCAAAACAAAAATATAGCCCTGATTGCGAGAGTTCATTGGCTACTAAAGCATGCTATGTTGCAAGCAAATGGAAAACCAAGTGCTGTTCGGTGCTCAGATCAGCTTCTTTATCTGACATTTTGGTTCAGCTTCATGCCTTTCATCATCGCACCATGGGTCGTGGAAGAGCTGCAAGAGGCAGGACTTTTGCTCGTGACCCAAAGTCTGACGTGTGCTAGAAAGGCATAGTGC